TTGCGTTTGTGAGTAAGGCGATGATTGCTGTCGAAGTGAAGTATTTGTCTTGTATAGGTTGCTTTTCTGAAAACGGTAGTTTGCAATTGTCCACTTGTGCACCGGTCAAGCCCTTCGACACGTCAGCCATACAATTCCCCTGATCCGGTGAGCCCATCACGTTTCTCAGTTGTTCATTGGTTACGGCCAAAAGGCTGTGCATTGAACTCTCAGTGGTTAATCAAGGTTTCTCTTAGAAAACTGGATTTTGCCGTTTTCAGTTTCTAAGACCGCTTTAGTTCAGTTCAGTTCAGCTTTATTGAGGGAAATGTAGGTCTCCACCTTTGAACTCCCCATATGTTTACAAGCAACTGCAAAATCTCAAAAACTGGAAAAGGTATCATAAAGGTAACAAATAATCGGAAAACCGTCAGCTCTGTACAGACAAACAAACCGTCTCGAATTTTAATGGTACGAGCAGTTCCGTCCACAATAAAGCAGTCTAGATTTCTGCCCACTCTGTAAGTTCTGTGACGAGCGGGTCAAAGACAGCGCAAGTTAGAATGCTGAATATATGTTCATCGACTTTCTGACACAAGAATAGGAACAAAGTTTGAAGTTCAGCGAAGCAACTGACTCCTTTCAGTGATCCGGACTTAGAAAAACTGACAAAAGGGAACACACTTACTTATAGTCACTTTTAAGTAAATCACGGGATAAAAAACGGTCGGATGTGGTTTGGTACCCCCACCTGAAGTAAACAAACCCCAGTTACCTCTAATACGGGGCCGGTAGTAGTAGGGGCTTCTACAGGTGGAGCCGGAAACGCACAGGCGACGAGGTCAAGTAGGTTTATGCAAATTAGAAGTTAGAGGGAATGCGTGGTTGCACTTTCAATGGTTAAGAAATAGTTGTCATAACCCCTAACCCTAACCCCTAAATATAACCCATGGCATTTAATCCCTAACCCTAGCTCTTGATCCCAACCCCAACAGTAATTTATCCATCAGGTGGGGCTACCAAATCACATCTTACCAAAAAACTTGCGTTCTCATTTCTATGGCTGTTAGAAACCCTTCATTAGAATGGTCTGCATGATGGATACTTAAAGAACACCGACCCTTTTATCCATGCCACGAACATTGTGACAGGAAACGACCAGAGATGAAAGTTATGAATACGCTATAAGTTGATACAATAGTTGTTTGTAGTTTGATAGAATACGGAGCCTCTTTGAAAAATTGACCCTATATGCAACACCGGACATCCTTTCTATGTTCCCAACTCTTCTTAATGTGCACCGCAGTTTAAAAACCTTGCGAATTCGTCCTTTTTACTGCTGTATCTTTTCCTAAATGCGACTCTGCATAATATACTGCCGTTGTACTGCTGCTTAAGCGGATTCTACCCGGATTAATGAGCAATGACTCGCTGGGATGTATTGCATTTTTCCATTAGTGTTTGGAGAAATCACTTGTAAACGATACTACGGCGTCTTCAAGTTAGAAGTTGGGGACAGATGGATGGAATCGATCGAGATTCCACCGACACGATCTGGTGGAAAGCTAATGACTGACGGTTCGGCCGTCGCAAGCGACGACGTCGGTTGCGGGCCCTATGAAGTGGGCGCAGCACGGGCCACCCACGATTCGATTAGTTTATAGCGAGGCAGACTTTCGCAGCATCTACCGCACTCTCTCTTCTCTCACTCACCTTGTTCCGATTGCCAGACAATGCCAAGACTACCAAAGGTGAGCGCGGACACTGGGTGACAAAGTTAAACAGCCCGTTTGTGTTTACCACATGCAACCTGTCAGCTCGGATCTCACATGGGTGAGAATGCCATAAAGGCCACACTGATAATGAGTCACTGCAGCGTGACTCAGTCATACAGTTACTCTACTACACTTACCGCGAGGACAGATTTATCCTGTCAGTTGGCAGCTTTCCAAACTATCATTCTTAACGCGCCATGATAGCTTCAAGAGTACCAGATGTATTAGCAGAGGAGAACGTATAAATTGCTTATGGGAATAAATTACCGTGTCCTGTGCACCAGTCGACCGTCCGAGCCCGTCAAAACATTGGCGATAAGATTGGCTGGCAAGTTATTAGTCATGTATCTAACATGGTAAATCTTATGTGCGATACCCGGAGGACCTTAAACCTAGGTTCCTTATTCCAAAGTCATAAGTCCTAATGATAAATTCACGGAATTCTAGGTATGATTCAGAAACTACTAGGACGAATGGACGAACAACGGTCGTTTAGGGTAACTGACAGTAACCGTTGTCCTCTGGAAGCTGATTTAGGCACTTTCCGTCTGTTTTTCTGGAGACAGTCTGCTCCGACTTCCTATAGGAATTTTAAATAAACTTATAAATATATCTCCCATCTTATATCTGGTGGGTGATCTGTGTACAGATACTCAGTGATCTGCGCACGCAGAGGGGATACGTTCGGGGGCACGAATTTAAGAAAATATAAGATACGAGATGAGGGGAACTGTTTGATGAAGCGTTTGATTTTCCCCAACTAACGCCATCTCTTCATTATATATCAAGTAAGATCAGCTGTAGGGCTTGCCCTAGAAGACCCATCGCAAACGACTGGCCAGTCTTAATTTAGATTTAATCAGGTAGAAGGTCGAAAAAAGGCAAACCTTTACATGTTAGTCTAACTGGCGAATTTTTTCCTTTAAAACTGACACTCGTTTGAGCACCACGATCTGAAAACAGTTTAAAAACGAGGGTTCCGCCGTCACAAACAACGGCATCCACCGCTGCATCACGAGGTGAGCTCTGCAGCGGTAACCTATAAATTCACATAAAGTCAGAAAAACAGGCCAGATGCAATAAGCCAGTTGACGGAGAGGGGGTTTGCGGCGAACAGGAGGAAGAACTCACAGAGTTGCTCTCTGGAGACGCATGTTTTGCTGCCGTATTTGGCAAAGCCGGTAGTGAATACCTTCTGCCAACGAACGACCTCGTCATTGGTGGTACAGGTAAACTGATGCATAGCGGCTTCTGGCTTCTCCATGATTAGGAGAAAGTTGAGGGAGTAGCGAGCGGAGGTCCGGAAGAAACCAAAGTGTTTTGACCAAATCACGACAAATGGCTTTGGTGGAAGGATGAAGAGAGGAAAAATAAGAACTTCAGGTGATACTCCCCACAAAAATGCAAATACTCACATCGGACGAAACAAAAGATACTTGTCTGCATAATGGATAGGTGAAAACACACGGAGCAAGATAAGACCGATGCAACCCTTTCTTGGCAGCAGTGAACTTGGGGTCTTGAAAAAGTGGAAAAGCAGGCATCGACATCAATTACTCGAGATAAAAGACACTTTTTGAGGCTCCCAACCTTGAAACCTGAACTAAGTCCCTCCGCCATATCGGCGTCCTATTGAAATACCATATACATACTGAGCTAATCCGCAGGCAAACATGTATGGCTTTCCTTATCTTAACGTTGGTCACTGCACGGAAAACGTCGGCAGGCCTCGCACAGCGAATCCGAAGATATGACTGATACTCCTGTATTTACCTTCTCGTTGACTTTAAAAGGTCGGTACTTCCCTGTGTGTTTGTCCTGAACCAGTAGTAGGAAGTAATCAGTGAGAGCGATGGCATGCACTTCTACAAGGGAAAATAAGAGACTGTTGTGAGGACAAGAGCGCGTTAAAACGACCAAAAATCACTTAGTTGATTAGGCATAACTTTCCAGGATGTTTAGAGTCGCCTGCCATTTAATAAAAGTCTTTCTAATGCCACCTGTTTTTGTTTTAGTAATAAAAATTCATCATACAAGTAAAGCACCCATATGACAAACTGTTTTCAAAGCCAGTTTGGCCTAGAAGAGTTAAAAAGTGGTTATAACATATTCGGCTTGGCAAATCGTCAAAAATGTCGCTCTTGCGACATTATTTTCGCCCTATGACTCAGATCATAATATACAACCCATTAGTTCACACTACTGGCAGACAGCCGAAACATGACCTTGATGTAAAAGGAAGGAGAATAGCGGGTCGGTTCGGTTAATTTTGGCCACGCGAGTTCCTAATTTCCTGCGGTCCGACGGAAATTTGTAGGCATTACGAGAAAAACCCCTTTCTTCACGATGAAATTGCAAGCGAAACGTCCCAAGACGTATTTACTGTGTTCGTAACGTCTGTGGGTCTGAATTTTCAATCCTCTAGTTGAAGACAGAAGTTTAGCTACATCAGGTTCACAAAAGTATTAAGCGGGTACCACCCGCTGGAAACGGACACGATTCCTGGATAGTTTACATATAATCTAAAAACTGAGTCAGCCAATTTTTGATTGCAGACGCTTGCTCAAAAAAGACTAACTAGGAGTAAAATGGTTTTCTAGATGCTATAAAAATTCATTGAAAGTCAGGCAGGAAATGAAGGGTCTTAAACACACTTAACAAAATTCTTCATGCACTCATCAGACTATTCGGAATCCTACCATACGTGTGCGTGTATTATGGTGTTTCGAAAACGAATGATTGTACCATTTGTTAGGAATAAAGAGTGAAGTTGTCGATAAACCATGGGTCGGACACGCGAGTGGGTGCGTCCCGTACCACAGGTGGCTTTGCGCAGAATTGCAAGAGGTACCTACTCTTGTGTTCTAACTTCAACCCCGACCCAAACTCTCCTAAACCTTAAAAGTGACCCCCGAGGAATTTAACGTAAGGTCCCCCGTAATACGGGGGTACCTATTCCAGTGTTCTACCGGACCATATAACCAAAAAAATATTACTGACGGAGCAGAGTGAGGGCCAGGAGGTTATTTTCATTATATCTCTTCCGTCAGCTAACCCTAATCTAACTCCTGTATTCCGTCCTGTAATCAGGCCAGGCCTATTAATGCTGCTCCGATGTGACGTTAATTATTATCGGTCACACCCCTTGAAAGGGAAGCGTGGGACCCAGTTGGCAGAACGGCGAATTTAATTTTCAGTTTGATTGATTTCTAATCTCTGGTTCTCATGACTTGAGACTGGGGTATCGATGGCTGACGAAGGCGGATGTGCTATAAATCGTCAACAGAGTTGTCCCTGCCGTTGCTGTTATCAACTCTCTTTTACTGATGGCCTCTCATATGCAAATGCCTCGTAGATAGGAGCTGCTGGACTAAACATAACGCCCACGGTTCATCCTTAAAGAACAGGCCAGACCGATGAGCATACAACCAAGACAACCTTAAGAGCATTTTCCCTCTGAATAATCTGGGCAGATCAAGGGAGAATTTGCACGTTGGACAGATTGGTCAACTGGAACAGAGCTGGGTTCATATCCGCACTTGGGCAGAAAATACAGAATGCGTTGAGAGAGGGACAGGAACGCCAGGATGGGGAGGACAAGGAACACGCATAGCCTTCAAAGTGTGCTCTCAAACGGAACCAAATCGTCGACTTCCTTATTTCGCAACTGGTTCACTACATCTAAGCTAGAATGAGCGCATTTTGTGTAACTTAGTTATTTTCCATGTTTTGATATTGCATACTTTCATTAGATTGTTACGATTTTGGGTAACGATAGGGTCTAGGACCCAGAAATAGATGGCAACTTCAAAAATATACCCTAAAATTCAGTGCGACTGCAAAAATCACTTATTATTCACCGTTCCCATTGTTGAGAATTTTCTTCCCTTCCTGACCAAACGTAAACTTATTAGCGGCGCTTTATTCAAAGCCCGTTATCTTTCGAAAATTGCTTTTTGCGTATTTTTTGATTACCACGCTCACTTTTTTGCCAAATAACAGCGAACGATAGGACTCTCGGCAGGAATTTATCTATTTTCTGTGTTTTCTTGTACTTCGTCCTGTGTGTTGTCCGGTGATGAGATAAGTTGCAGGAGCTGACGTGCGCCGGTCTCCGTCTAGGACGTGACATACGCACCTACGTGAGCAGGTTCTCAGCGGAGTCCGACAGAGACATGCAATAAGCAAATGTGGACCCTGTCACGATGCACAAAATATTCATTTTTTTCTTATTCAGTAGAAAATTGCATCTTCTTTCAATTTTACGCTCAAAGTAAGGGTATAATTTGGTTTTCTACAACTTTTCCAATTCCCGAATAATTTAGAACTCGACCTGCCGTTACACTTGCTTTCAGGTTTAATAAAATGCAAACCGTATATTTTGTGCGTACGGAAAACCATAAATTTCTCTACGGTATTAGGAAGAGACCATATGGGGTTCATAAAATTAAGCGGTGGATTTGAGCCAAAGTGTTAACTTTACAAGCCACATTGGTAAATGCAGGGACATGACGTTTTATGAAGGAACATTTCATGGTATTAAAAATCTCACATTTAAAAACTTTTTTAAAACCGAGTTATATCCTTCTTTCGAGCGTAAAATTGAAAAAAGATGCAATTTTTTAATGAATGAGAAAAATTGAATATTTTTGTGCATGTTTTCCATGAAATATAATTGAACTTTTGAGGTCATCGACAATCAATGAGAAAAATGCATGCTACTTAAGTGGTCATTTTTTACAGAGTATAGGTCTTGCATGCAGTCGGAAAAAAGTTTGTTCGAAGGCCGGTATCCTAGGGTAACTGAATTTTTATACAATTATGCTGCCCGGGGATTGGTTTTACAACCCTACTTAATTAATCTTTTCGAAACGAAAACGCATTTCAGAATTTCGGTTGACATTTCATGAGTTAGTTCACCTACTGTACATCAGTAGATTCTTAGCGCAGTCCCACAGAGACATGCAACAAACAAATGTGGACCCCGTTACGATGCAGTACAACAACAGCGCATCCCCTTTGTCCGGAGGGAGGGGTAAGTGAAATGTGCTCAGTTAGTATTTAGATTAGTAGGTCAAGTAGGTTACACCTCATGGACACGAGAGCGTGCACTTAACGAGGAAAAAGTTGAATTAGGAGAAAAGCCCACCAGTACTTATCGGCTTCTTCTCGCCAGGCTTCTTTTGAAGGTATTTCAGCTTGTCATAGTTAATCATTTTCGTCTCCGGTGCCATCATCACGTCTCGAAGATAGATCTTTCCGCCATTGTCGTTCTCAACAAAGCTGTCTTCTTGCAAGTTGTTGGCGAAACTGCGCAACTTCTCCGCCTGCACCAGATCTGTCATGAACTGCTGAGCCCCGAAGAGAAGGGATTGAACTCTTTGTAGGCTAGTCTGAAGGTCACTCAACTCAGTGGAATTCTCCTCGTCTACAAGTGTCGAGGAATAAAATAACTAAATTATTTCCATCGGCATAAGACTGTTAAGAATCGTTCTGTCAAATATCAGCAGAAAATCAAGGTATTTTCGTCATAGGCCTATCCACCAGCAACAGGGCTTCTTACGCTTATTTAGGATGACCGCGAAGATTGTTCATACCTTAAATGTCACCTGGTACCCAAGGTATTTTGCCCCCGAGGGCAGAAGAAATTAACTCCATACAAACTGGCTATTTCCAAGTAGAATGAAGTTGTTTGGCTTTTGCTTAAGTTGTAAACCAAGGCCTGTTTCGCTCAAAACGAGGCTTTACAGTGACCTCCCATTTGTGTTGTACGACGATTAATTAGCGAAGTTTAATGAATACCACCGAAGTTTGTGTGGATGGATATAAATCCCGGTGTGGTAATTACCAGTTTTAACTAAGGTGTCTTCACCCAAACTTTGCTTCCAATGAGTACTTTGAGTTGCAACTCAAAGTGGCTAAAACTGCTTGCTGGATAACTAAGGCAGCTGTTGATTCAGGCGAGTCCAAAATAAAAAATAAATTTCCTTGAGTAGATTTGTATTTGTGGCTCATTATTTATGGCAACTAGATTAATGGCGACCGTTTTTATCCTCCAGTCTTTGTCAAGAGGGCGAACAAAACCGACTGGTTTAATTTCGGAGTGATAACTGGACGGCCAGCAAGCTCTGATGATGCAACTATAGGGAGAGCGATGAGAAGATGACAAAAGAACCTGACGTTCATTGGAAAAGAGTTGGAAGGGGACGAGGCTTCATTTACTCCCCCTAAACTTGCTGAGATGTAGTTTCTATCCGCTCTT